CACAAATTCTTTGCACTATTTGTGGCTCATAGATCAACTGTATGTAAACTTGTTTTAGCTCAAAATGAAATTATGGCATCAGATTCATGCTCAGCATGGAAACTGACTCAGACAGAGTGTGTTAACAAATAAAACAGTGCAAAAGCCGTCACTCGTTTTTGCTAAACATTGTGCCATCTAAATCTCGATTTATACCAAGTAATACTCATCTTATAGCCTACATTGTTTTATATTCAATCCAAATTTTCATCGTCGTAAAGCGTTATGCTGATGGGATTGGAACATTTTACAAAAAAAACTGTTAGCGCAATTCTGGGAGGATTAGAATGTGAAACGCGAAATAACTGCTGTTATTAATAGTAAAACATCTTTAACAAGTGAGTTCAAGTCAATATTGCAGATACCTGGTAGTCTCTTCAGTCCACTAGTCACATTTGAATCCATATTTTCCTAGGCTTTTTTAGTTTGTCTATAAACTAAAGAATTTTTCTTTTAATAGTTTATATATACACATCTAAAGTATGTTTGACGCCATCATATATTCCTTTACGTAGACCTCAAAATTCTCTATTGAATGATATAATATAGTTGGGTGTTTAGTCAATAATAGACAGAGATCTGTGAATCACATCGAAGAGTGCTATTGTTAACTATGTGGCATAGGCATTACCAATGCAGCCTTGAAAATTTTTTTCCTTACCAACATAAAGAGCTAAATTTTTGGCAGTGAGATCTTCTGTAAATAGGCTTTCTTTTTGAATAAAAAATCCAAAGTCCAAGTTCCAAATTATGCTGAATCTCAAGATAATAGTGCGGTTTTCTTAGAGAGCCTCGCTTAAAGAAGCCCACTAGTCGGGTTAAAGTTATCATTTTGGCTTCTCAACCTCTGCCTCGGTCCATCTCAACCAACACTTCACTCACCAAGATGCAACATTTCCAGTGGTTCCACTGCATAGTTTGCAATAATATTTGTTACTTCCATCTTATCCGCTTCAATCTGATCTGCTGCTGAAGTGGCTGATTGTGCTCCTCGTTGATAGGCCGATTGTAGTGAAGATGGAAGCAGTGTCGACGAAGAAAGAGCCGGTTTTGGATATCGTGTTGAAGAAGAAAGTGTTGACGACGAATTTGCAGTTGTAGCAGCATTCGCGCGAGTATTAAAGAAAGCAGATGGATCTGCCGTGTCCGATGATCGTGGTGGCAGTGGTGGTGCTCGCGTTGCCATGATCGGAGTTGTGGATTGCGAGGACGCAGATGTCATATCTCTATTTGCTTCCCCAGAGTTTGGTGGTGTAACTGATTGTGCGTTGTTTCTTCCTTCTAATAATGAAGTAGAATTTCCATTATGAACTGTTAACATAGCGTCTGCTGTACGCTGTTTATCTTTCTTGTGCATATTGTTTCTAAATGATCTAAAAAGTATCGCTGCTTTATAATGTGTATACTAGCGAAAGAAAGTGAGAATGGTCTTCAAAAAGACTGGCTATTCCATACACTAGCGGAGTGTTAGCTTCGAGTTTCTTATTAACACATACCTTTTTTCTCGCTTCGTTATGCGGAAGAAAAAAAAATATAATCGCTGTTGCGTATTACTCGCTTTTATAGAGATTTACTGCCAACAATTCACATGGACACTCAAAATAACACATATTTTTTCGTTTATTGTCGTCAAAAACCTGAGTGGAGTTTTTCGTTCATCCTATGAGGTGAACATAAAAGCGATTCTTCAAAATGAAAAAAGAAAGAGAATTTTAATTTTTAAAAAAGTATCGTACCATCAGCATATTACAGAAACCTGTGGGTACTTGAGTATCTTAAAGTAGTTATAAGTATTATATGAGCAGTCGAACGGTTCACTATTAAGATGCTTTTAGGTGTTTGATTCACTAAACTATTCAAACATTTGTCATCAACAAAGCTTTACAACTGTATAAGTACCCGAACAAGTTCCCAAATACTGAGACAATTTTCAGCAGACCATCTTATATAGGTGCCCTGCTGGACATTTTCTCAGTATACAGGCACCTAAAACTTAATAACGGATGATGCAAAAGTTTCTGCACCAATATTTTTCTTTTTTTCAAATGCTAAAACATATTTTGGAAAAATCAAAAATAGCTATTCAGAGTTGGTGTCGAAAAAGCTTTCTAACTGTGTGCACAAAAACCATTCTATCATGTCTTGACTTGGAGTAACCAGCAGATCTCTGAGCAGCATTAAAATATAGTCTTTAAAACAGCTCGGACTAGCTTCAGCAAAAAATCGGTTTCTCAGTGTTTTTTTGATTTTCTTCTATTCGTCTCAGTGTATTTGTAACATATTGGGAAAATTTGAAAAACAAAGGTCTACGAAATATCGTGAAAATTGACCGTAACAATAGCAATGGCGCCGATGAAACTTTTTCAAGACTTGAGTGACGCCATTCTATTAAAACAAGCCAAATGGTATCTACAAGTAATCTGAAATAATGGCAATGTAAATATATTGAAGTCTTGCCTTCGGTAACGTACAAGAGCAACAAATGTTAACACTAGGGGTTCAACGGTGACGATTAATCGTTCACCGCTCTATCGTAGTTACCGAATAGCGGTGAAACGATCCCCGGTTACGCCGATCAACCGGGTGGGGTGTGGGTGTGAGTGTGGATGAATGTGGATGTGGGTGTGGGTGGATGTGGGTATGGGTGTGAGTGTGGGCGTGGGGTGGGGGTGTGGATGTGGATGTGGGTCTGTGGTAATGAGTATGAATTTTCATTGCGTCTTTTCACCCACATCCACACCCACCCACCCACAGACCCACACCCCCGGTGTAATCAGAGATCGTTTCACTGGTTGATCGGTCCAACCGAGGATCGTTTCACCGGTTGATCGGTCCAACCGAGGACCGTTTCACCGGTTGATCGATCTGATCGTTCACCGTTTCGGAGCGGTGAAACGGTGACGGTGAAGCGATCATTGATCGTCACCGTTGCATCCCTAGTTAACACTGAAAAGGCGGAAGAAATATTGAACGAAACAAAACACGCTTATGGTCGAAAAATGTCAAGAACTTTACAGTTAACTTTTCCGAATATTATGTAAAACAATGTTATAATATTTTCTGCCATGTTCATAGAGAATTAAACGACGAATCCAATGAAAAAAGCTGTTAGCGCAATCCCTTGCAGAATTAAAAATGTGAAACACGATGGATTTATTATTACTAATTAAATGGAAATCATTTTGTTCCATTTCTTTGCGATACATTTGTAGCTAACGATTTATCTGATGCTTTAGAACCAGTTTCTCTGTCACGATCTGTGATGGGTCCAGAGTCTGTCTGTCACGGTCTGTGACGGGTCCAAATTTCTACCCCTAAAAACTTCAACATTCCTTTCAGATTGTGTTTCACAAAATATCAATACTATATGATGAAATGAGTAGGAGAAAATCAAAAAATACTGACCTCTTTTTCCTTTACAGACTACATTTTTGTGGCATTGATAGATGTGCTCGTGACTTCAAGTTGTGACGTTATAGAATGGTTGGGAATGTTTCAACTCGTCACGTTTTTTTCTTGTCTGGCTTTCGTAACGAATTGACAGTATGAAAGCCCGTGACAGAGCTTTTGTAACGACAGAATCAGGGGTTTCGTAACAAATTTTACAGGGTGATCGTAATTGGTGTTTTAATATGTACCATTACAGAGCTTTCGTAACGAAAAGCATGTAATTTCTGCAAACTAAGTCCAGCTACCATCCTCATCCTCATTACGAAATCCGTGTTGCTTCGTTGCGAAAGCTCTGCAACTGTTACGAACTCCCTGTATTAATCGTTACAATCGCCCTGTAAATTTCGTTACGACATCCCTGTATTTTTGGATATCCCTATTTTTGGTGTTACGAAAGGTCTAATTTTTGCTGTTTGTTCAACTCGTCACGTGACGAGTTGAAACGTTCTCGTAGTAGCATATGACAAAAAGGAGAGACATTTGTGCAGGAGCTTTTGCGTCACCGTTATGTACTTAATACCCTAAAATGACCAACTATATACTAGGCGTTGACGACTAACGAATCATTAGATATCTTCATATCCTCATCGTCGAAAAAATGCATTCTAAACATGTAGCTGATATAGAAAAGAACAATCTATTTATTATTTATCGAAATTTCATCAATCATTCAATGTGTCATGTCCTCAAGGTGAAAAATATTCTCAAAATATATATTCAAATGAATAAAATATATGTAGCCGGCTTATTTTCTTTTATAAATAGAATAACTAAGAAAAGACATCTATTTTGTCAAATAAACTACAAAATACATTTAAATCATATTATCAATAAACAACTTTTCTTAATTAATATATTAACAACATTTTTTATTACAAAAATACAAAATATTATTCGAATCTCAACTAGATTCTGAACTTACCTAGCATTTATACAAAAAAAAATAAGAGTACCAAAATAGTCGAAGAGATGATGAAATTTTTTTCTTCTATTTCTCAAATAGCGAAAAATAACATGCTTATTATTGACATCGCTATTTAAATTGAGGATGAGAAGAAATAAAGGCAAATTGCTTACCACTGTGCAAGTGTATCAGTCTTTTTCTCCTTGGAAAATATGTTGTTAAGTAAATTGTAGCAAGCAAAGGATTTTTAGTGAGCAGTTATTTCACGATGAGATAAGAAAAACAAAGATGGAAAATAAGAAAGAAAAAGACGGAAAAAATACATAGAAAAAATCTGTAATTTCATCTTCTATGCAGTCTATTAAGTTGTCACATACTGTACACTCTTGTACGTTTATCTTCTCCCTTCTGTATAAATATCATTCAAAATCTGGTTGTGGGCTTTTTCCTATTATGCATACATTCATATGTATGTACGATTATCTTTCTTCCTCATCATTGACATACATTGTCTAGGAAAAAACCAAAAGCATAAAATGAGAAGCAATTAATTGACATATGGACAGTTCTTAGGCGGAAATATTTTTTATTGTTACAATATGGTTAAAATGTTTATTTCATTATCTTTCCGTTTATATTTCTTACGTCTAATTAATGAAATTATTATGTTATAATGAATTGCGCCGATAAAAACGAAGATACACGGAGTATTTTTTTTCAAGAAATGTTTATACAGGAATCCTGATTTTTTTT